TTTAACCACGGTCTTCCAAACCCTCCAGGGCAGTGCCCAGCTCAGCTTTAAATGAAATGCCTGCCCAGAGCCATCTGAGTCAGGAGACGAATAAATGGCCCGGACAGGCTGGAATCAGGGAGAAAATAGATTTTCCCTTCTCCCAGCCAGTGATGACAAGCAGACAGGGGAGTGCAGGGGTTCCGACCTGTGTGAGGAAGGACGAGACCCTCTCTCACTGCGATCTGGAGGGGAAAGGACCAAGTTCCTCTCGCCTGGACATGGGGCCACTTTGGGAGCTAAGTGTTGAGATGGAGTTTTCCAAATTAGAAAAGGCAACAGGAGGGAAAACAGTGCGTGTGTGTGTGTGTGTGTGTGTGTGTGTGTGTGTGAGAGAGAGAGAGAGAGAGAGAGAGAGAGAGAGAGAGAGAGAGAGAAAGGAGAGAGGATGTGAGTGTGATGAGAAGGCAAGATGGAGGTTTGGTGGATACACATCTCTACCAAGCTCCCATTCCTGCAAAACACAGATGCAGATTCCAGTGCCCCACCTCCCAGGAAATGACTGGGTCACCTTTTTACAAAACCCAGGGGCTGAAGGGCACCGCTGATTTATGGAGACTGGTCCTGCATATTTGAAGTTATAACACAGAGATACTTTTGAGTTACAGGGCAGTCGTCGGCTGCTTGTCTAAAAATCACCTTAGACTTCAATGTCAAGGATTTAAGGCAGACATGAGAAAGCTCCTTCCATCAACAAGCGCTTCTGAGAGCCAGAGTTATGTAAGAAGCAACCTGCATTTGCCTCTGCAGAGCATGACACAGCAGATCCCCAGCCACATCCTTCCCAGACCCCTGGACCAGCGAGGCTCCTTCTACACACACACACACACACACACACACTCCTCACAAGCACGCTTGCGTTTAAACACTCACATTCCTCAAGCTACTTGAAGTAAACTTCAATCATAAAAGAACGGCAAAGACAGATTATTTTTCCTCAACTGCATTAATTGAATAATACATCTCCAACCTCTGCAGCAGAGATAACACTCGATAAAAATGGTTTGTGTGTGGGCAATAGTGTGGTGAAGGCCTGGGGCAGCTAGGGGCTGGGTGGAGGGGGGCAAATAGGAGGTAGGGAACATCTGTCTACAATAAAATATATATATATACTTTTAAAAGTATATCTTAAATAGAATTCCCTTACCCTTTAGGCTCTCCCCTGGAGATTTTCCCTCAGCATTATTCACCTTGACGTCACTTATTCATGTAATTTCTCTGCCCCCCCCTATTGGAATATAACTTCTACAATTGCAAAAAGAAATGGTTTGTGTGTGACACGTATACTAGAGGTCAGCGTGTCCACCCCTTGGCTGCACCGTCCACAGTCCTGGACAGCAGGGCTGTATCACAGCACACAGGGAAGGCTCTGACTTTACAGCCTCATATCACAGCCCGCTGAGACCAGGAGAGGTTTTTACATAAGCTACTAAAATAAGCTTTTTAGCTTAAAGCAAACAAATCCGAGTCTAAATTCAGTGAACTGGAGGCAAGAGAGTGCTGACCTTAAGAAAACTCCGCCGGGCCAATCACGAGAACCTTCTAGGGACGTCAGCAGTGCTGGGAAAGACTCTCTAGATTCTAGAAGTAGCGAGGCTGTGCCTTCCATCTCCTCATTGAGCCCTAACCTCCTGACACCTCACCGCCCCTTCCTGCTGCTCCAGGACCCACAGGTGAGACCTGTGAGAGGAACCAAGTGCTGCCAGCTCCTCCCTGTGCCTGCGGCAGGTCCCGCCCAGCAAGGCACAGAGGGACATGGTGGTTACCCCCAAGGAAGGGCCACCTCCCCTTTAAGCCTGGAAACCTAGATGCTGTGCTTGAAAGTTCTCCATCCCCCACGAACAGCCTTCCCCATCGCTTCATCACATTCCCTCAGTGGGTACACCTGGGTCCTAGAACAGGTGCTGCTCGGCAGCCTGAGGGAGGAGACCTGAGGCTACCAGCCTGTCGAACTCCCGGCTCACTCATCAGCAGCAACAGGTTCAGGTGGACAGTGCTGTGTCTGAAACTTTTGGGGCCAGAGGTTTCTCGGAATTCAGATTTTTGTTGTTTTTATTTTAGAAAGCTAATATACACCCCAGCAGGGTCTGAGGAAGCATCCAATGAACTCATTTATACACTTTCGTATCAAAGTCATGAATATTCATACTAGTCTTCTAGTTAGGAATAAAAAAATCCAGAAGTCTCAAGGGCAGAGGATTTGGCACCATCCTCCAGGAGATATAGAAACTCAGGGACAAAAAACAAAGACCAGACAAAATGGGGCAACTGCCCAGACCCCAGCAGACATCCCCTGACTCAGAAGGCCCGGGGCGGACCAGCTGAGCTGAAGAATCTCCCACACAGACGATGCCTTCTACGTTGAGCTGCCCTGGCCCCGGGCCCGAGAGAGAAATAAGTCCATAGAGTCCCCTATATTCAGAGAATCGGTCCCCAGACCCCGGCGACTGGCTGCAAGGAGGACACAACATACCCCAGGTGCAGACCCTGGTGGGCCCTGTTTCCAGAGCCCTGACCCCATGTGACCCATGTGAGAGGGCAAATCACACTTTGATCTTTCCGGCCTTGAGGAGCAGAGAGAACACTGAACTGCCTCTGGCCTTCTCTCTGCCCAGTTAAATGCCAGCACCCCACCTTCCCCCACACCCGTCCCACCGCCCTCCTGCTCCCTTGCTCTATGCTCCCTGACTGGCTGTGTCCACTCGCATGGCCTTACCTGCCACCTCCGGGCCCTTGGCCCCCACGTCGCAATCATTTAGCCCCGCCCGCCTCTGCACTCCCACTTACATTTCAGCGGCCTCCGGGGCACCTTTGCCCGCTGCTGCAGCTCCGACCCTTCCCGCTGCTCCACTGCCTGTGAATGCCCGCTTTCTTTCCCACAGCGGCCCCATGTGCACTTAAGTTGGTCAGAGACTGGCCCTGGCCAATGGGATGTGAGCACAAATGCCACTGGGCAACGTCACTTCCGGCGGCGGCAGCAGGGGGTATTTAGTGCCTGTGCACCACCCCCACGTCCCTTCCCCTCCGTGATGCCAGGGCAAGGCGGTGGAGAATCAAAAGAGAAACCTCCTAGGTCCTGGGGTCACTGTGAGAAGAATAACTTCTATGGGGAACAGTTACCGAGAGCTGGGAACTAGCTGACACAGCAGGGAGTGTTAAGGACCCCACACACCGGCCTTCTCCACCTGACGAGTTCCTGCTTATTGTGCTTTAAACTCCACGTCACGTGCCGCCTCCTCTGGGAAGTCCAACCTCCAGGGAAGGTCGGCCTCTCCTCCCTGACCTCATGTGTCTGGCAAGCAGGTACCTGAATCAATGGACACATTTCTGTTTGCAAGTTTGGGCCCCACATTTGCGGGTGCTTCTCCCACCCCCATAGTCTCGGTGCCTTGCAAGCTGCAAACACTCAATATGCTTGATTGACTGAAGCAAAACTCAGAGCCTTCTCGCTGACGGGGCCAGCAAACCACAAGTCAGCATTGTGCTAGGCACGGTGGTTGGTAGGAGGCAATATAAGGAAAACACTGTCACCGCCCCTAGCAGCATTTGTTAATCTTTAGGTCCTCTGCACCCATTATCTCCCATCTATTAACGGATGGCCTCCACTTGAAAAATACATCATCTTTCAGGAACGATCAGCTAAGACATTTCTCAGAAAGGAAGATAAAAGCAGGGCATTGTGGTGAGGAGATGAAAGCCGAACAGGGCCCTCTCTTGGCACCCATGAGCCTGGCTCAGCCACGCCTGCCACCGTGTGCAGGTGACAGCCTAGCCATGCAGAGTCACGTCCTCATGGCTTGGCAAAGCTTCCCAAACCAAAGGTGCAAAACCCCGCCACTGGTCAGGGAAACAGAACAGAGGGAAGGGGATGGAGGAATGTGTCCTGTGAGTAGCTCCCTTTCTCCCAATTCTCTAAAGGATATGCTGCAACGCTTAGTTCCAGCCTCAGGGAAATGGTGACCTTAATTAAATGATTAATTATTAATGCAATGTTTTCACAGTAATTCCCACAAACTAGCATTATACCTGCTGCAAGTGTGCCTTTACTGTGGACACTGAGAGGAGCCACTTCATGTGCGTGGGTCATGCGGTCAGCTGGCTGTGCTGGCATCCGGTGTGCAGACAAAAACATCCCCGACAGAGAGCTGTGGCGACCAGTGCCACACCCACAGCTGCAGGAGAGCAGGGGGCTCCTAGCACATAATCCTAGCAGGACTTGCAGAGCGGTAAGTGGAAGAAGTTTAGACTCTGCAGTATGCTGAAGGCTGGTATAGACAGACAGTAAGATTTTTTTTAAGTGAAAAAATTGAAGAGGTAACTGAACAGAATGGAATGGTAGAGTTTGGGATAGTCGGGACAGTACACTTTTTAAAAATATAATTTTATTGATTTCAGAGAGGAAGGGCGAGGGGTGAGAGAAACATCAATGATGAGAGAGAATCATTGATCAGCTGCCTCCTGCATGCCCCCTACTGGTGATGAAGCCTGCAACTCAGGCATGTGCCCTGACCAGGAATCGAACCATGACCTCCAGGTCCATAGGTCGATGGTCAACCACTGAACCACACCGGCAAGGCAGGACAGAACATTCTTTTCTTTTTCTTCCTTTTTTTAAAAATTTTATTTTATTGTTTTATTGCTTAAAGTATTACAAAGAGTATTACATATGTCTCCTTTTTTCCCTGCCCTTGACAATCCCCTGGCCTCCCCTAACCCCCATTGTCTTATGTCCATTGGTTATGCTTATATGCATGCAAACATGCAGGACAGAACATTCTGATGTTGAGTGTCACATGTCATACATAAGAAGTACCTCAAAACACAGGGCACTGTTCCTGGCTGGCATTTTTATAAGTCATATGCCATAAAGAGAACAGTGAATGCCCCACCCCATCTAAGATACCAAGTGCATATGTGGGAAGCAAGAAATTGACTGAAAACAGCATAGCCCGGCAACTTACCTTGTATGAAGATCCTATTCCAGTAGATCTTCCCAACTTGGTTGCCCCCAAGAAACACCAGGTTGGACAGGATGAGCATGGAGGTGGAGCACGAGGCTAGGGCAGCGTGGAAGCGACGGCGAGCCCGTGGGGAGAGGAACTGGACCTGTGGGGAAGGCAAGAGCACCTCATTGCACGGTGGAAAGTCTAAGACTGACACGGCATCCAGCCTTCCTCCATCAGCAGCCCAGGGTGCTGCCCCCAGAGCCTGGACTGTTACTTAAATTAAAATTATTATTTAAACAGGTCTCAAAACTTCTATTCCTGCAACATGCTCATTTTGGTCTAAAGAAAGAAGTGCCACACCCCCAAGTTGTTCCCTCCTCTGACCCAAATGAGCTTTCCCCGGACACGTGTAACACAAGTTCTGAAGCCAGTTAAGATTTAGCTGGAATGTCTCTACACATCTTCTGCATGTACATCTATAGGCCCAAGAACTGCTTAAGCTGTTCTCCATGGTAACCAGCACAACTCCATGTAATGAGGTCCAGGTCGGGGCGATCTTTCAGGCCCGTTTACTTGACCATGGGGAGCTACCCCATGGCTCTACCCACTATTAGGAGGAACCTTGTTAAGAGAGGAACCTTGTTAAGAGGGCGCAGGAGAGCAGCTCAATCGGACCTCTGGCTCGCCAATGGTGAGCTGGCAGCACCTGAAATACATGGAAGTGGAGAGATATTTTCCCTAATGGATGCTAGGGAATTCTGCTCATCCATCCGAAGTCTTCCCTGAACTTTTCCCTCCCCTTTTATTACCTTCGTGAGGATGTCATCAAGTCAACCAAGCCTTCCTACCTCAGCCCTGACGTTCTGGGGACCTCTCGAGTGCGGCCTCTGCCGTGGCTGCAGTGTGTGAGCCCCGTGAGCACATCGCAGGGGCTGTCCTTTGAGGTTGTGTATGTAGAATGAGGACCAGGTACAGTGCAACAGCCCGCCACACAGGGCCCCAGGGGTTCTGACAAATACTGCAGCCTAATCCAAAGACACAGGAAAGAAAGGAAGCGAAGTGTCCTCCCGAAACCTGCCCATCTCTGGGGTGGTCACTGCCTCCTGACTCCAGCTGTCTCCATTGCACCTGGAATTCTGAATCGGCCGGATTCCTGGCAGGCACAGAGGACTAAGCAGGTGGCTGACTGGCTTCGGGGGCCCCTGCTGTGCATCACCTGTGGCCACTGTGCAAACCTCAGCCAGGGTCCTCTGAAAACCCAGAGATGACTTCCTGACACCTCCCCTTTCCCTCCTGCAGTCCCAGCATCTGTTCTGCCTGCTCAGAGCTGCTACAATGCATCTCCCATCCATGGCTCTCTCCACCTGCATCACCTTGGAGCACGGCCATCCTGCCCCACCTGTGAGCGTGAGGCCTTCTCACGCGTGAACTGAGCAGTGGGCACTGACTGGGCCATCTGCCTGGACGTGATTGTTCTGGAAAGGTCTTCACTGAAGCTGATGTGTCCCTGGTTACGGGCCA